GGTCAGGGGAGAGAGGAGAGCCAGGAGGGGATAGTATTAAAAAGTTACAGCATTTATATAAGTGTTTGTTTGGCTGGACAGTGTAAATTTTCATACTTAGGAGATTCCTCGTAACTGCTCACACATAGTCATTCTTGGATTTTATTTCTCCTCTGGGTCACACCTCACCTTAAGCTCATACCACTAACTGCACATGCTTTCTATTAGTTGAATCAACACACGCACACGCACACACACACGCACACACACAGCATTACACACCCATTGCCCACTGGCTCTGCTTAGTTACATGCCTCTACTTCTCTTGTCTGTTTATCCCGACCTCCTGGCTGACCTCTTCCTCCCTATGGTGACCTGTCCATTCAGCTGTGTCCAAGCTCTCATTAGGGGGATTCTAAATGAGCTTCACGGTGCAGCTAGAGGCTTTTCTTTCACATTTTACTTCACTTGGCTCTTTTTTTTCCCCCCATAGTTAATAATTTGTTGCTCTTTTCTCTATCCAAAAACGCTGCAGCTAACTCTGTGACTCATAATGTAGGGTTGAGTTTTAAGTGATAAAATGTGTCCATCTTGTTCTGCTGTGTTAGATGTAACCACATGTGGTCAGCACAGTGCATGGGCAGTGTTTTTGGACAAGCCCATGTCTGTATCCTGCGTGTGTGCGTGTGCGTGTGTGTGTGTGTGTGTGTTATCTTGCATCTACTTCTATATGTGGCTCTGTTTCACTGATAAGATCAGTCGAGCCGTCGGTTACACATCTGTGTCTGTGAAGGGTCCACACACAGCCCCAGGTTAAACAGTAAGATACGATTGGATGCATGCCCATCGCCCCAAAAAAACCCAGTTGGCTGATGTTGGCTGAGTGAGCTATCAGTCTCCTGCTGGGTTACAACATAGTCTGTGACAGGACGGCAGGGAAAGGGCAGCGGTTAACCACCCCTGACAGCCCAACCATGCACTACCTGAACGCTATTTATTGGCTTGTCCAGGAAGTTTTAAAAACACTAAATAGCAAAGACATCAAACAGATTTTCTGTTGTGATTTACAGTCCGGGATGAGGGTTAAGCGAATGGTTAGTTTATGTGTGGACTGGTAGTAATGACCCATTTAAAGCTTTTTCCCATGCCTGCTCCCCATGCTCCCAAGTTTCAGGTGAACCTGAGGGCCAAGCATTGCGGCTCAGCACAGAATGTTCTGGATATTTCTTGGACAGCTGCGCCTGCCTCCTCTTTATCTTTTTAACTGTCTCTCTTCTTTTCCAGCCTGAGTTATTGGAGGTATTGATATTTAGATTTATTACTCTGACGGGAAAACGAGCAAACTCACGAAATGTTTTCTGAGCCATTTGACATAACCTCATTTTGCTTTCGACTTGAAGCTCAGGCTCTTTGAAGGTGTGTGTGTGTGTGTGTGTGTGTGTGTGTGTGTGTGTGTGTGTGTGTGTGTGTGTGTGTGTGTGTGTGTGTGTGTGTGTGTGTGTGTGTGTGTGTGTGTGTGTGTGTGTGTGTGAGTGTGTCTCATGGTCGTTTACAACATCCACAGATGTGGCTTTGTAGTGAACAGACCATTTTCTGCAGATCCCACCAACAGACCTGGACCTAAGTGAAAACATTTGAAGATAATTGTGAGTTGTTGATATGGAAGCGCATCGGACTGATGCTATTTAATGTTCAAAGCTTTTGTCATCATGGCAAGGTTTCGACGAAAGTGTTTTATGTCCGTGGGGTGTATTTAATAGAGGATGTGGTTAGGATTGTGTTATATAGTATCATCTCTTTTCTTTTAAATCCGACCCTGTGAAGGAGACTTGTATCATCACAGATGGTCCACAAACTACAATGTATTTTTTTTTTCGTCACGGCTTTATAATGTGTATAGTATTATTGATCTAACCCTGATTCAGGCAGGTTAACTCGACTCCATCCGTGCACCCCTGTTAGCAGCTAGGCTCAGATGGTGCTGTATTAGGAAACCAAAAGCCAAGAAAAAATAAACAAGCCAGGCTCCAGAGCTGAAATCTCTCCATCTGATCACATCAGTCTCCCTCAAGTGTTTAACTGGAATGCTCTACTTTTCTTTCTGTTCACTTTTTTTTCCTTCTTTAGTTTTCTGTTTCTCTTCAAGTTCAAGCGGAGTGTAAATTATAGATAAAGTTTTGCAGTTGGGAAGAACACACTGAGACAACGATGACTAAAAAATTTTTCCTTATTTGAGTTTTTTTTTTTTCTTTAAATATTGTTCTCCTAAAAATGTCTTATTGCATAACCTGCATCACCCTGGAAAGGCAAAAACCACCAAATACCATACTTTATAAATTAACTCTCCCACAAATGTCATCCAGCATACGCTTTGCACCCCTCTCTTGGTCTCACATACCGTCACATGTGTTAAATGTATATACATAATACAGCTCTCAGTATGTCCCAGTCCTCAGACTCCAGAGGAAAGCCAAAGAAGCGTTGCTAAATGTTTCTGTCTGCAGCTGGAGCCTCCAGTCACGAAACGTCCTAACCTCTCCAACCTCTCAGCCAGAGCTCTCACAGCTGCCCAGACATATTTACTCATACATACACCTAACACATACACTGACACACTCAAGAATCAAACTCGGAAACAGAATGAACTCAGACAACATTTACCTTTTTGTTACCAGTAGGGAGGGGTGTGTTTCCTGCAGTTATAGTTTCACCTGTGTATTGTATTGTGTCTTCACCGAGCTGCAGTGCTCAGGAATCATCTCTCTGTCTCTCTTTGTCCCAGTCTTCAGAGGTGCTGCCCTCCACTCACTCCTTCTGTCCTGTAGCTGAAAATGACAGTATACAGCCTTTTGTCAAGGCCCTACTTCCCAAAGATGTCCTCCTCTCTGTGGACTCAGCTGTCCCGGGGCTCAAGCTTGGGCATGGTTCAAAAGCCGGCCACTTCAACAGACTGAGCTCTGGCGACTGATGCTTTTGAGTTTTTCACAAAGGATGGGGGAGACTAGAGGAGGGGAGGGGAAGGAGGAAGAGAGGGGAGGAGAAGGGGGATGAGGGTGTGGGAGTTGGAGATTGCCTTTTTTTTTTTCTTCTATTTTTTTGGAGTGGCCCAGCCTACCTCTGATGTCACTCTGATGGAAAAAAAAAAGAGAGAAAAAGAGAATAACAGAGCTCATTAAGTTTCCCATCCTGGACAATGGCCTTCGTGATTCTTAGGCAGGAGAAGTAGATTGAGTGGAAGGAAAAAAAAAATGTGTTTGAATTCAGAAGTGGTTTTGCTGAGTTTGGAGCACAGGCTCGAACTGCTTTGACCCCTTCTTCCTCAATTACAAACCCCCGATTCCCTTCTCTTTTTTTGCTTTTTTTTTTTTTTTGCTTTTTCCTCTAGCTGTGGGAAGAACAGATTCAAATGCTGCTAAGGTTTCTGAACAGCTTCCTATTGAGTTTCAGCTGGGTATGTGAGAGCAGGAGACAGAGGCAGGTAGATAAAGCTGATTAGTGCTGTTATTGCAGCAGAGATCCTGGCTCCAGGTGTAGTCTGAGCTTGTCTGGTCTTTACTTGCACCTTATCACCACAGTCATTTACTTTAATGTCTCTAGAATAGTCAGACATGGACAAAACATTTTTTGAGCTGAAATATTTGACACACCTCTTTTTGGTGACTGGCTAAGAGGAGCAGACGGAGGAGATGTTTCCCCTCCCTGCATTGTGACCATCCTTAGGTTTCTAACTTGATCCTTGTCATACAAGTTTTGCCACATGTAAACACGAAGTGTCTGTTTACCCTAACCACAGGTTCTCTGAGCACGCATCTGTCTGTGGGTGTTCCTGGCAGTATGGATTTGTGCATGACTAACTGCTGTTATCCCTGACATGCTCTCAGAGGAGCAGCTATAGCGGTTAAGCCTTCAGGATCCCTCTCTTCCTCCTCTTCTCCCCATCTTTCACTTCCCCCCTCACAGCTGAGTCTTCAAACGCTTTTAGACTGCCTCTCTCTCTCGCTCCCACCCTCCCTCCCTCCCTCCCTCCCTCCCTTCGTCCCTCTCTGATTCTAATCAGATGGTGTTGTGTTTGTGTGTGTGTCTATGGTATCCTGAAGATGAGGTCTGGCCCTTCTATTTATTGGACTTGGTCTTGCAGTCCTGTTGTCGTTACTTATTTGTACATCTGCGCTTACACTCTGCATGCACAGTGTACAACACCGTTTCCCAAGAAAGCGAAGGTGTGGGTGACATAAGTCTACTGTGTGATGACTTTTCTTACATCTGCACTCAATTTCACCGCTGGCGTGTGAAAGATACATTGAGCAAGAGAGAAGAGGAGGAAAGAGAGCAATGGAAAGGAAGGCGCACCATCAGTTCACTTCTGAAGCTTGTTAATCTCTCTTTTCAGAATGCTGGGAAGCTGCTCCTGGGTTTGTCTCTCAGTGTTAATATTTATGTAATGAGAGACTAAGAATCTCAGCTCTGCTCCAACTCTGCCAAAAAGAGGTAATGAGAGAGGGAATGAGGGGGAGAGTTGGCGATGGCCTTGAATTCGAAAGGCTGAAGGCTGAAGAGAAGATCAGTCGTCCACTCAGGGCGCTCATTTAGATCTGTTGGGAGCAGATCAGGGCAAAAAAAAAAAAAGTCAGTTAGAAATTTGAGCAATGTATATGCAAATAGGAGGGTTTGTGCAAGGTTTTTATTCCTGTATGTTTTGGCCCGTGTAATATCAAACAAACCGTCTGCAGTTACCAGCTGGTCTTCACACCAAGAAATCCACAGCTCCAGGGCACTTGCATCATGCATCCAAGGAAATCTGGCCCTATTACGATGTCCAGCCTTGTTTGCGTCTACATGTTTGCTTTCTAATGAGCTGAGCGCTCTGTGTTCGGGCTGGAAAATCCTAATGTTTCCCACCGGTGTGTGATATGTGATAGATGGACGCTGTCCTCATTTGGCAGTCGAGGGAAGAAGATTGTGTATATCTCCTGGTTTCACGTAACATGTTGCATCTTTTTCCATCTGCTTCTTTATTTCAGGGATGTACCTGTCTGACCTGACCTACATAGACTCAGCCTACCCCTCCACAGGCAGCATACTGGAGAACGAACAGAGATCAAACCTGATGAACAACATTCTCAGAATCATATCGGACCTGCAGAGATCCTGTACTTACGGTACAGATTAGATCCTCTCACACACACACACACACACACACACACACACACACACACACACACACACAGACACACATTGATGGAAAGACTAAAGAAGACTAGAGTTCCTACTCTACTCTGAGATCTGATTATGTCCATCATGTGAAAGAAAAAAGTTAACAAACAGGAGTCTTTGTGAATCTGTATAAAGGCTGCGGAAAAAGCATTGTAGCCTTGATACTTCATTTTCTGTTGCCATGGAGACGCTATGAAAGAATCTGTGCTATTTATTAATACAGCAGTATGTTTTTATGACAACTGAACAAATTGGAAAAAAATTAAATATACTCAGATTTGACCAGGCAGTTTTACCTCCCATCTATTTCCAGCATGATTGAAAATCATTTTTTTTTTGACATTTTATATGTTTTTAATTTGTAAAAAAATACACAAATTCTTCATCACCATTCCTTCACATGCCATTATCTTTCATGTTTTTGTTTGGTTTCAATTGTCTTGTTGTTCTTTCTTATTCAGAGAGCTAAAGCTTAAGGACCCTCCATCATGTGGATAGTAGACGCTGAAGTAGTTTTTACCTGCAGTAGAAACCATGCGTCCCTGGTTTGAAAATGCTACAGCACACTGGAACAGACTGTGAAACATAAATAAATGACATATATTGACATAAAGCAAATGTGATGCAGCTATTACCTAGCAACACTCAGGCTGCTGCTCTGTAGCTGACCTGCACTTGAGTAAAGTTTCTGTAATGATTAATAAGGGTTCACGCTATTAGTCATTTTTCATCCTCAGTCCAGATGCACTTTATAGCCTAGATATGTCTGTGGTTTTAGTAATCATGATGCATGATCACAGCATCGTGTGCACACATATGTCAGTATTCATTCTAATGTGTGGGTCATTGCCTTCCCTCTTTCAGATATACCAGTGTTGCCTCATGTACAGAAGTATCTCAACTCAGTCAGGTATATCGAGGAGCTGCAGAAGTTTGTGGAGGATGACAATTACAAGTAAGAATGAAAACAAATAAAACTTACTCAGTTTTGCTTCATAGTTCCTGATTTGGTCACAGGGGCAACCTGCCAGGAAGATCAAAATAAGGTTTCTATGCTGTTTCTAATGTTATTGCTTGCTGCCTCATCGCTGTTGAATTCAAGCTGATGGATTCATCAATATTGTTTATTTAGGTTGTCACAGAAGATTGAGCCAGGCACCAGCACACCACGAGCAAACGCCTCCAAAGAAGACCTTGTCGGTGAGTTTCTGTGCAGATCTCTAGTGGGTGTGAGATGTAGAATAAACTCGTGTATCATCTCTTTACCTCTTGTATCTCTTGTGATCGTCATGGACTGTAAATATAATGTACATGAATAACTGTATATAAATAACCCCCCCACTTTTACCTGCAGGCCAGGAAGCGTCAGCATCTCCTCTTTGTGGCCGTAAATGTGCGGTAGCAAATGAAGGACCAAAAGTCCCGGCCACACCGCCCTCCCCTAGAAACCTGCTGCCCTACGGACACAGGAAGTGCCACAGCCTGGGCTACAAGTCAGCATCAGTTCTTTGATAGATGATGATGATGAAGATGATGAAGATGATATACTACAAGATGCACAGAATTTACACACCGAATGTCCAAAACTGAATACTGACACCTCTCTTATTGTCTCTCTGTCCCTGCTGCCTGCTGTGCTCTGTGTCTCCACAGTTTTATCCACAAGATGAATACGGTAGAGTTTAAAAGTGCTACGTTCCCCAATGCCGGTTCTCGCCATCTGTTGGACGACAGTGTGATGGAGAGCCACAGTCCCACCAGGGGACAAGCAGAGAGCTCCACTTTGTCCAGCGGCATTTCACTCGGTAAGACTTAAGCATTTACACTTAGTAACGTGATGCACAATTTGTTTTTTCACTGAGACGTTTTTTGTGCTGATTTTTATCTGTGTACAGGGAGCAGTGAGGGCTCAGAGCTCAGTGAAGAGGTGTCTTGGCCAGCTTTTGAGAGGTATGGGTAATGTGTCTTTGTCACTGATGTTCTTTCATCACATCCACTTCATGCAAAATCATAAAATACCCCCACCCCTGATGTGATTGTCAAATTCCCAAAGCTCTGGCTTCAAGATACAGCTATGCAAAATGATGTGCCATCCAATCTCATACACATGCGCCCTGAACAGCCTTGCTTTTAGCCTCGGCTGTCATGCATCATCCCTCCACCGCTGCTCTCAGATGCTTCTGCCTCTCCATCAGCCTGAAATGTATTAAGTACTTAACATTAATTCCCTTAACCAGCAGTCCCGCTGTGCCAACAAGTGTCTGGAGCCACACTCACTAGTTCTCAAGTAAAAAGTGTCAGTTCAAGAATCTACTGGCCTGAACATCAACTTAATCTTCTTTTCCAAAACACCAGTCTTTTAATTGAGTAGCACATCCATCAATAACTCTTCTAACCGAATGACCGCTCCTCATCCAGCCCTAACCCCATGCAGTTTGAAAGGGAAAAAAAGTCACAACACAAAAAACACCCGCACAGCCTTAACAGTGTCCCGTGCCCCTATCCTATCCTATCCTATCTTATCCTATTCTGAACAGGACTCGGTTCTATCACTCTTTGGGCCCAGTGACCCGAGTGGCCCGCATCCCCTACAGAGGAGTCCTGAGGCCCAGCAGGTACACACATCCCGACCGGAACCAACTGACCTGAATCAAACCCTCTCTTATCCTCACTTCACGCCCCTCAGTCCCTGCAAGGGGCCGCTGTGTGCTGGTGCTTAGCGTGTGTGTAGCGCTGGGTTTATCTTCTGGTGGGAAATAAATGTGTGACTGTGTGTGTGTGTGAGTGAGTGTATCACAAATCAGAGGAAGGGCAAAGGATCTGTTTGGGTTTGTGATTCTTCATCTTCTGCTGTGTATCATCAGTCTCCAATCTACCTTTTGCTGTCTTGAATTTCTTGCATGTCTGCCTCACACACATAATCACACACTCACACACGTAGAGCTCTAAGTCAAGACTTCTTCTTGTGATGACTCTCCAAGATATTTCACAGTTTGGAGCTAAAAACAAGTTTCCACAGTCACACTGAGCTCCATGTGTTACTGGAAACAAACTGTTGCATCCTCATTCCTAAAGTAGAGAGGAACAGACTCTTCAGGCTTATTAGAGCCAATTCTCATGGACGTTGCATATTAGGCGTCGCTTGCGGTTAGGGATGGTCTCTATTCTCTCCCTTTCCACCGGGCTTCACTAAGCTCCTGCACTGGGCTTCCTGCTCTGATCCTCCAGACAGACACAATCTGCACACCACCTTGCCCGTCTCTGCTCTGCTTTCTGCAGATAGCAGTGTTAAGATTTATATCTGTGAAATTCAACTCTGGCAAAACAAGACAGAAATAGATGTAGTTATAAAAAAGTTTCTTATTCATGAAGCAGAGGTTAAGGTAGCTTTGCAGATTGTATCTTCCTTTACTACTAGTTTATCTCTGATTTCATTTGGTATGTGCGCATGCATGAAAGCATGCATGTTTTCTCGTGCGTATGTTTGTGTATATAGCTTGTAATGTTTGTCTTTGTCCTGTTGTAGCTCTGTGGAGTCGGAGGAGCTTGCAGTCCACTTGTATCCCGGAGCAGTCACAGTGCAGGGGGTGCTGAGACGAAAGACTGTGCTCAAGGAAGGCAAGAAACCAACTGTGAGAACCCACACACACACTCACACATATACATACACAGCAGTACATGTGCATGTGTCCATATGCTGTTCATACACCTATACGTGCATGTACCATACAGGAGCAGATGGGCCATAAATGCTGTCTGCAGAGCACAGATAGGACCACAGAGACTGCTTAACCTGCAGAACATCTCTGTTTCTGTCTGTTCCTTTTACTCGTTGTCATTCTCTGCCTCTCTGACTGTGCTTGCATTTCTTTCCACTGCTTTTGTTTTCCTTGTCCCGCATAAGCCATTTTTATATTTGCGCTGAGATTATCCTATTCTGTTTTGGCTGGAAACAAATCTGGAACCCTTTATGCAGCTAAAATAACTTAAATCTGTCATAGGTAGTGTGGATGATTTACGAGCATCTTTGATGATATAACAAGATATAAAAGTTTTTCCCAATGTGGCCCAGCAGTCAGGCGAAATCCCTCCACACCAGGAGGTCAACTTAAATGCCTTTTTCCTCCAGTCTTTTCCTCCATCTTGTAACTCTCTTTATTTTGCTTGTATTAGTCTTAAAAGCTTCCAGTGTTTATGAAACAGCTAACTTTGCACACTTATTCCCCAGTCACTCAACCAAGCATAGACTAAAAAAGACTTTCAGTCCCTGAAGCCACAGTCTTCCTCCTGTCATTCACCTCACTTCAACTGCCTCTCTAAACTTGTCTCTAGTCACAAAAACATTTTACTTTTTTTTTGAGTCCCATTCTGTAGTTCTTCATTGACTCACTCAGGCTCAAGTGGATATGATTTCACCTTTGTGCCTCCAGGTGGCATCTTGGACCAAATACTGGGTCGCTCTTTGTGGAACCCAGCTCTACTACTACCCTGCCAAGTCCCTGAAGGCCACTGAGAGAAAACATGTGAGTCACACACACTACTCCGTCATCATCCTCTGTTTTAAGAATGTGAGGATGCATTCACACCTTGCATGTTTGCAGCAGATACATAGATTACTTTATTCCGGTAGGTGAGGGCAGATAGCACAGAACAGCACTGAGGCATCTTAAAGTCTTACACCTCTCCCATGTGAACTGCAGTTGTTGATCGAAGTGAATAAATGTACCAAATTACCCTGAAACACACTCAGTTTTATAAGGACACAACACATGATAGCCATTACTTAGTCATTCTTAAAAACTTTAATTATAGAACGAATTCAGGGGAAAACATGTAATGATTCGTTATGTGTTTGTGCTTGATGTGCACTGGAAAAAAAGACAATAACAGCAAAAATGCAGGTGAGGAAAGTTTTAGGTGATTATAAATTCAAAAACAAGTGTTCACTGCATCAGACTGGACGTGTGTTTGTGTGTATGTATTTGGACTGTGTCAGTTTTACAGGAACTGAAACTGTACAGGAGCTCAGTGGAGAACATGTGTGTGTGTGCACGTCTGTCTATTGTTGTGTGGACAAATTATGGTTTGAATCCATCGTTATGAGGACATTTTGGCCAGTCACAACTTTACAGGGCCGTTTGAGGGTTAGGACTTGGATTTGTGGCTAGGGTTAGGGTTTAATTTGTTTGATTGTTAAGGTTAGGGTGAGGGCCTAGAGAATGCATTATGTCAGTGAGTGTCCTCACAACTAACGTAAGACAAGTATGTGCGCGCGTGCGTGTGGGTGTGTTGGGGACTCGACTGAATCCAGTGCAGCAGGGGATAGACAGATGGTAGCACTCATTGAGTAATGAGACCAATGACATCACTGCAGTCCTGCGTGTCACTCATAGACTAATGAGAACCTTGTGGAGTACACATGCAGGCTCACAGGCAATATCCAAACACACACACATATACAAACACACAAGGCCTGTGTTAATATTTAGACACAACAGAGTTGTCATGAGAAATAAAAAAATTCTGTTTCCACTTGCCCTCTGTTCAGTTCAAGTCAACGTCCAGTAAGACTGTGTGTGTGGTGGGTCTAATGGCCATGATGGCTGACGATCCAGAGCATCCTGATGTCTTCTTGCTGACTGACTCAGAGCATGGTGAGAATGACACACACACACACACACACACACACACACAAAAGGACAAAACATTAGAAATGACTAATAAGAGCAAGAAATCATGCCTCTGAAAACGGATGCAGTAAAAAGGTGAAATAGGTCAGTGGAGTTTGGTTTGAGTGGTGACATCATCCACACACACATACACACACATTTAGATTGTATCCACCTCACCCACAGCAAGTCTTACTCTCGATTTAAGTATGCCATTGCGTGTTAGTCACATTTGGCATCTGGCATGTTCATATCCGTTTATACACACACACACACACACACACACACACACACACACACACACACACACACACACACACACACAGTCCAACTGACTTTATCCTGAACTTTTCCACTGCAACTTTGTTTTTATTTTACTGGGCGGGCCAAAGTCAAGTGAGGCTTTAGCCATCTTTCCAGTGTTGAGAAAGCAGGTGGAAACGAGAGACTTGGCAACTCACGCTGTTTGTCTCTGTTGCCTAGGTAACACCTACAAGTACCAAGCAGGGAACAGAATGAACGCATTGCTCTGGTTCAAACACCTGAGTGCTGCCTGTCAGAGCAATAGGCAACAGGTATGAAGCACATACACACATACACTCACACACACACACACTGCTGAATATTTGCTGTTTTACAAATCTCACTCTTTTCCCAGGTGCCAGCCAATCTGATGTCGTTTGAGTGACCGATGACGGGGAGTGCGAATGAGCAAAGGAGAGAGGGATGAGGAAACAGACGAGGAGGATGAGGAGGAGTATTGACTCAGTAGTGGGAGCTTTCACTGCCATGAGCCCTGCCCGCCAATTCTCCGATTCTAGCCCCGGCCTCACTGCAGCCTCACCTGCCACCACTGCCTTAACCAGAGTACCCTGTGTGCGTGTGCGTGTGCTTGTATATGTGTGAGCGAATGTGAGTGTGTGGGTGTGGATGGAAGTGACTGTTTTGGATGTATTTACTACTGAACAAGGACCTGGACCACTGCTCTTGTCTCCCATTTGCTCTCAGTGTCTTTTGTTTTTACTGCAAGTGTTCAGCACTTCAGTGGAGCCATTCGACTTCTCCTCTCCTCTCTCACAAACAGACTGTCCTCGGATGGACAGAAATAATCCTCCCCTTTGGTTTTCTTAAGGGGGTTTAGGTATTTTTAGCCGTGTCCCCACTATGCTCGAATGCAAGATTCTCACCTTTTATTCGGCTGGACACAAAGTCACAACACACTCACACTCACATTGGACTAACCCGTTGGACTTTGGAGGGTTTGGAAAAACACTTTTTTTACTTATTCGGTTCACACTTTCAATTGTTACTCTTTTCATTCACTTGAGTTGTCATGGAGTCACAGGATTATTTACATAAACCACGTACTCACTCTCTCTCTCTCTCTCTCTCTCTCTCTCTCTCTCTCTCACTCTCACCCACACACACACACACAGGCCTATTTGATTGCATCGTTGTAAACCTAAGGGCTCTGATTCGCAATCGATTCCAGCAGAAACAATTCCCACACTTCCTGAATGGTTCTAATTTTTATTACAGAGCTTAGCCCCCCCACCCCCCACCCCTTTTTTTGTCATATACTCGCTAAGTGTTCTGTATGTGTGTGTGTCTGTATAACTGCATTGGGTGAGGAGGGGGAGGGGACGGGAGGGACAATGTTTGCTCAAATTACAAGAATCTTGTCTGTGTTCCACATAAGTACAATAATCCCAGAATCTAAGCTAAGACATGTTCACAGTTGGGTAGACAACTCCTTTTACAAGCCTGCTTTTCTTTGTTCTCCAGTGTTGTCTGCTCTCTGTCATCACCGCCGTCAGCTCAGAGAGGTGACGCTTGGTTCACCAGACTTATACACACTAAACACTACAGACTTGAAACTGTGAAAGAGTCCAAGAGAGAGCAGCAAGAACTAAAAATACATGATTTTATCTCCTCTTCTTCTTGTTGCTTAACATAGTTAGATCCTCTGGTCTGGAGCAGACATTCAAAGCTACCTGGAGCCATACAGAGTCTATTTTAAGTCTTGTTTGTTGATATTGTTTCGTGTTGTTAGTTTCTTTTCATTTTTTTGGGAGGGATGGTGCAGTTCACAGTATTACCATGTAGTAGATGATTGCACGTCAGTGTAGGCTTTTTTGTCTGTTACATATGAATGTTACATTTTTGTTTTTGTGGTTTTTGCCCTTTTTGGAGCAGTTATTTTGAATATTTTATGTACATGTGAATTTTAATTTTTTTCTTTCTATTTTTTTCCTTTTTCTTTCTTTTTTTTTTTTTTTTCCCCCTTTATTCTATTAACCAGAACCCAGCTCACCTTTAGGCCCCAACCATGTTGCGTCTGATTCAGAAATAGCATAAGCATCTTGGTTATAATTAGTGCCAAGTAATGTTATTGTCACTGTTTTCTTCAGTTTGATGAAATGATAAGAAGGGCAGAGTTGCAGTGGAATTAGGTGTAGGTACTGGCTGTGAGGAAAACTTGGGGTTTACAGTTTCCACTATGCATCACAGATGTTTGACAGTGCCACAAACCAATTATAACTGATCGAACATGATTAGGATGACAATGATGAGGTGCTTTTTGCCCCAAAAATACTCAACAAATTCTAAATCATTTTTAAAGCAGCTGTTTACATTGTATGTTTACACAATCTTTTGCCCAACATCACAATCTCCTCACTGCTCCATATGTACAGTATCTACTTTAGGAAAAAATATTGCGTAGAAACAACGGTCCTCGTATCAGTGAGGTATATTAAGCTCAGAGTTTCGGGCTGAACATATCTGTACCCTCAGCGCTGGATCCCCTTTAATGTGTCTAATCGGATGTGTTAAAACTGTCCTGAACACAATATATAAGTCATCAGTTCAACTTTTAAGGTCAGACAAACATTACAAAGAGACAATGAGAGACAATGTCTTTTTAGTCCCCATCAGAAGATGTTCAGCCCTTTGTATATTAACTAAAAGAGATGGTAGTAGACGAACCTGTGGAAGAATGAATGAGGAAGCCAAAGACAGGCTTACATATGTAATGTGGCAAGTTACTCTAAGTACGTGTGTGCATTTGTGTGCCTGTGCATACTACTCTATTTTTTTAAAAACATAATTGAAGCCAGATAGGCAAATCCCTTTGGGCTGTCGTCACTGCTGAGCAGTGGGGGTAAGCAGCTATCTAATCATCTGTGTGACTGACTCTGCCAGCTCATGCTAGAACTCCGCTCCAACTTGTGTCATACAGGAAGTGTGAAGAAAGGAGCAGAGAGGAAGTGGAAACTGTACTCATCTGTGTCTGCTGAGGCTGGCGCTGTAGAGGGGAGCAGAGAGGGTTTGAAGTGACAAAATCCCAGAGCTGAAGCACTATGGAGGCTGATCGTTACTGTTGATTTAATACCACCGGTGGGCCGGGAACAAGAGGGCTGTGAATGAAATAGGTGAAATGGGTGAGACAGAGTTTTAGGGTTGAGAGACTGTGTTTAGATGCTGTTGATCTTTCCGACTGATTGACACATTCAGACAAGCTTCACCGGGGGGCATTTGCAAAATGTTGATGAATTGGTACAGCCAAGCAGGAATTTATGCTTTCTCAGAAACTCTGAAAAAACAGACTGTGGGCCAAGAGTGGCTGAGATGTAAACAAACCCAAAGTAGACGGACAACAACCCCGTCATATTTACTTTCTTTCTGTTTGCTTCATCTTATGTTGATTGAGAACAACGAAAGAAAAAAGAAATGACGAGATGTAAACGATGTGGATTCCTGAGTTAAAAGTTTTATACTTTAAAAGACCAGAAAGGGGAATTCGAATTCGTTTGGTTGGGGGGGGGGGGTTTATTTGAAATAATTTGGGTTGAACATTTTCCCTCAAGAAATTCTCAGATCATGTCAAGCGCTTTTTGTGAGGTTTTCCTTACTGTAACCTGAGTTTACATGAATTACCTTTTTATAATCATTTCTGTAGAGTGTATGGTCAGAGTAATGGAAACGTGTTTCATTTTGGTTTTAGTTGACTCATTTCCTGGATTTCAAGGCCAATCACTGCAAAACACAAAGATCCCACGATCATCTATTTTGGGATGAGTGGAAAATTCAAATGTCAGCCACTCATTCAAGATAATTTTTGGTTATTATGAAGAAACATGATGCCAAGCTTGAAAATTCTCTTTGCTGTGGTTCAGAGTTCATGTTGTTTCCTTTAAGTTGACCATACTTTCTACAAATGCACAATTTGCCCTGTATTAACTGTTTTGATTGAATCTGCTGTCAGAATTCATTCTTTTAACAGTCATGAAAAATGTTTCAAAAGTTGAGATGAAGGGTTCAACCAGAGGGAGGTGTTTGAGTGTGAGTATATGATGTGTTTATTCTTTGGTGGAGAAATGAGACCAATGTGAATCTGTGCCTCCTGCATACAGGCCAGGCTTCATTCTCTGTTTACCAAGGACATCAACGACAACCTTCGTTCAACCCAGCAAGGGTGACGAGGGTGATGTATAAGTGATCTTTGACCGTCACCCTTCACCTGCCTCTGTGCTTGTCTGTCTGCCCATGATGTGACTGTGGCAAGCGCTGTGACCTCACTGCTGAGTGATGTGCTGCCTGGTGTGAAGACTGAGAACCAATAAACACTCTGCCCTTTTTTACTCCACACATCAGTTTCATGCTCATTGTTCTGGTGAGGATTGTGTGACTGTTTATCTGGGCTCTGGGGGTAGGGGGCTTGAAATGAGCGCTTGGCTGTTTGCTAGTGACTGTATTGAATCATGATTGTACAACATGACTCAATACTATTTGATAATCAGTTGCAGCTTGTTCAGGCTGCTATGTGAATCGTTGCAGACAAGAAGTGATAAGAGAGCACTGAATGAATCTCTCCTTCAGAGTCAACGTGTGAGTGTCTCTCCAGGTTGATTTCATGGCCATCTTTGTGACAATTCCCAAAATATTAACCAAAATCAGCCATCAAAATATCAAGGAACAGCTTACATTCATTGTAAATGTGTTGGCTCATTTTGTTTAGTCAGAAAATTTGTCTTAACGAAACATTACTTCACCAGGCTACAGTTACAATCACATCCATCACAGTGCAGATGTCGGCTTTTTATTGCTAATGAAATGAACAGCTGTGGGTTAATTTGCAGTGATGGGTCAGTACAGGAAAACATTTCTTATGTAATTTCAAATGTTTGCCACCTACAACAGGGTTCAACACTGGGTTGTAAATATAAAAACCAACAGTGTCCTTTCTTGGGGGTAAAAAAAGGGGGGGGGGGCTAGTGATGTTTCTGAGGGGTTGTGTAGAAGGAAAAAAAAACATTTCTGTTACACAAATTTTATTTTTTAAGCATGTTTATATGTTAATACCTGTTGACCAAACTATGAGGAGGGTGCCAAGTGAGCAGGCCTTTGGTTTAAGGGGTTGTCAGAAAAAAAAAAAAGGTTGGGAATTACTATGTTAGACCATTGCAATGACATACTTTTTTAGATAACCCGTAATTTAGCTGTAGCTGTACGTTGATATAAGTGTTTATTAATGTATTTGTCTACAACTATAACTCCTCCGTAAACAGCTAATGGATGACAATATAGAAAAACACAACTATAGTAATATAAACTACGTCTTCATAGGAGAAGTTCCTAAAAATGTCATATCTGCTTACAACTAAATGTTAATATACTGCTAATAAACGCAAAGTAGGAGGCCTTTATCTCTTAACTCATCAGTACAGTTTCAGTGTGGGACGTTGTGTAACACTGTCACCTGGTGGCGACGTGGAGCACCTACAGGGGGAGGAAGTGGACACGGCAGGCCAGAGAGGGAATCGAAGGAAAAGGGCGGAGGAAAGGGAGCTACCGAGGGGATTGAGAAAATGACAAACCACCGTGACTTTTAGCAGGGGGATAAATTATTATATTTAATTTTCATTTCGCAGGACTTTACAGACACTTGAAGCTACTTTGTCTCCGGTGAAAGGCATATGGTCACAAGGTAAGTCAGCTCGGTCGGCAGCCAGTAAACACAACAGACGACGTACTGTATGAAGCTAGCTGGCTGCTTTAGCTAACCTACAGAGCAAGGTGTACAGTGGTTTGCTAAGCAGCTAGCCCTGTCGAGATGGATGTGACCACATCGTTGCAGATATGGTGACCTGAATAACCCCAGCATAATCATTGTAGGAGGTATCTAAACGGAGCTGTCATCCAGAGCTTTTAGCTGGTTTTACTGCGGTCAGATCTGACTGTTTTCTCACTAGTGTTAGGGGGAAAAAAGGCAGCAACATCATGAAAGACCGATTGTGTAGAAGAAGTGACTGCCTGCGTGGCCAAACCTGTGAAGGCTGAGCTGTATCAACACTAGATGAACCTTTGTGTGTAACGTTTCAGGTCGCTGATGGTTAGTTATCACGGCTTTGACAATAATACCGCTAACGCACGTTCACCAGGGCAGAGTCCGTTTACCGTCAGTCAAACGTGGCAGTGTGTTAATTTTACTGCCGTGATGTGTTCACAAGCGCCCCATGTTTCAGCCCGCCTTTAACAGGCGGATTAATTCATCATGAGGTGTCGTAATTATATGAACATCACACAGGCTGAGGCCATTTCTCTCTATAGCAAGGTTGGACCGTGAAGGCAGAGGGTTGTGTTAGGGCCACCCCCTCACCTGACCCCCCCCCCACCCCCACCACCACCACCACACCACGCACCACCACCACAGCAGGACTACATGTTCATCGCCCCCTCACTGGGAACTGCCAGGGTCAATAAAAAGACAAAGTTTCTCCTTTACCCAAATCCAGTGTTGGAGAAGAAGAGGTGTTATTAAGTGAAACAGAAGTTTGCATGCTGTAAATGTGGCCCCTCCGCTTTAACACAGCCCAGCCTATACTCTTGCTGCACATACAGTTAAGGGCTGTTTAAACTGTGGTGACAGCCAAGGCTTCGCTCCCCATTTTGCACAGTACATGTTTTGTGGTGCGGCGTACTTTTGGATGTACACACACACACACATGTACACAGGGCAGATTGTGACATCCTGATGTAGTTACAAATGCTGGACAGGCTTCAGCTTTGCTGCAGTACTGGGTCACCATTTACCCTGAGGGGAAACAAGCAAGAGGGACAGCAAATCAATCAGTGTCCTCTCCACATATTATTGACAGTACACTTTTTATCTTGCTCTCTTTCTCTTCCCTCTCCTTGTTCTCTTCATTCTCCCCTTCCCACCCAACCTTCTGTTATTTATGTTCCCCACTCTCTCTCCAGGTGACTGGTGCCTGTTTGCTCAGATAGTAGCTCCATCACCACAGTCTGTCGAGGCCAAGCAGGTGGGTGGGTGACGGGCAGTTACAGGGGCCATGCATCAGGGGTGAGGGGGATTCGTAGCGGGGGAAACAAACAGCGTCGTGTGAGGAGGGGTTCAGGGCCGGTCGGTGTGGAGATGAAGCTCAAACAGCGCATGGTGGTGCTGTGTGCCGTGCTCCTCCTGCTGGGCCTGGCCAAAATCTTCCTTTTGGATGGAGGTGAAGGATCTGCCGCCAGCCGACGGGACCTCAGAGCGTTCCGTAAGGTCAGGGTGCATTTTCTATGTTGAGTTTTGTTTCAAAATGTGTATATAAAAAAAAAAAATCACTCTCTGATTGGGACAACTAATTAAGTAGTTATATCTAATAATAATATGTAATACTCCAGTTGCAACTGGTATAAAGTTACAGTCTGCTTGAGAGCATTTGCAGACGTGCTTATCATTACACACTGTAATTATCACTCAACCCTAACAGATGGAAGCTGGCCTTTCTCTGTCCCGCGGAGCTCGCCTCACCCACACCCTCCAGTCTCCATGGGAGATTGCAAGCCAGTGGGTGGGCCCGAGAGAGGTGTACCCTGAGGAGACCCCAGAGCTGGCTGCTGTGCTCACTGCCCTCAGCACTTCCAGGATAGAACGGGCAGATGTGGGTTATAAGGGCACTCAGCTCAAAGCCCTTTTGGTGCTGGATGGGGGACAGAAAGTGGTGTTCAAACCCAAAAGGTCAGCAGTGTTAAAAATCAGATTGCACACATGTATTTTGTGCTTAAGAGTGGTTCAGCTTTCTTAGTTTTGTTCTTTCCACCTTTCCTCAGATATAACAGAGACTATGTTGTTGAAGGCGAGCCATACGCTGGCTATGACAGACACAACGCGGAGGTGGCGGCTTTTCACTTGGATAGGTGTGTAGGGATTGCTATTTTAGTGTCTGAAGTTTATTCTTACAGACTCTGATCTGTCAATGGAGCAGAACTGTAATAATTGTCTGGTATCATCTCCTGTCCACTCTGCAGGATACTGGGTTTCAGGAGAGCGCCTCTTGTGGTGGGGCGATACGTCAACCTGCGAACAGAGATTAAACCTGTTGCCACAGACCAGCTGCTGAGCACCTTCCTCATGCAGGGTGAGTATCGGTCTACTCTTTCTTCCTCTCTCTTACTCTCTCTCGTTCCTCCAATGGTGTTATTTTCTGGATTATTTCCGTTTCTTTTGACCTGTTTGTCCACTTTCTATCTCTCTCTTATCTCAGTTTTCACTTGTCAGTTATATTCTCAATTCCTGTCTCACTCATCTTTCTGGTGTTTTTCTTTCTGGCTTTATCAGTCAGCACATTAGACCAGGATACACCCTGCCGAGTCTTGTTTGGTTAGGGTGTGGAACTATACAGTAACACAGTATCTTCACATCAGGTCAAGGTTATGCTTCTCACAGACACATTTGTCAGAGTAGATAGAAATAGAAAATAATGCATACAATAGATTCTTGTTTGTTTTCTATCAAAGACAGAGAAGCTAAGCATCCTGAACTCAGGAAAAGTGCAACTCAGGAACTGAATGATCAACTGAATGCATTATCCCTGCAATAAGCACTACATTTGTTAAAGGGAAAGTCCAGCAATTTTTACACTTAAAGGTCAGGTTGTCAGTCATCGGGACTCTACCACTAAACATGTGAAAAACAGTTATGTAATGCATTCTGGATGAGCTGTCTATAGTGTGAGAAAACAACCTCAGTTGATGTCATAAACTTTGGTCTAGAACCTATAGATTAATTATAGAAATCTGTTGGGTGTGCTAGAAGCTGTAGGCATGGGGAAAAACAAGGGGATTTACTAAGTATAGAGGTTTTAATGCAAAGATGTTATTGGTTGCATTTTGGGAAATGTAGGATTCAGATTTCTTAAGAGTTTCCCAGGGACTGAAATTCAGTCCTTTGTTACTTGTATCCTGACCTTCTCTGATTCTGACCATTCTTCTCTTTTTATCTGTCTCTTTCGATTTCCAGTAACTTTATGGCTGTGTAATATTTAATCGCTGTAGTTTTCCTGTAGGACTGTGTTAGAGAGGTGTTGATTCAATTCTGTCATCATTTTTGAGTTGTCAAGCTCTCATAAGGGTAGACAATATGACAGTATGAATATGTCTACCATCTGAAATTTTTCTATACTGTTTATGTCATGGTAGCTCTCCCTTAAATATCTCTGGGTGTATATGGCTATAATGGGAAATGTTGCATATCAATAGAAGCAGGACTTCATTTTTCACATTTTAGATTTTTACATTTATTTATTTATTTACTTTTATCAATTCAATAACCGTCCTTCATTTGTCAGGTATTAGTATTTAATATACACATAAATAGGTTCTGACTTGATTCTTCAGAACGTTTAATGCTATTACTACTATTTATAAAACAAACTATGGCTTTATTTTAGTGATACCATTTTTTGGATGGAACATGGTGAACATATTTTGAGTGTTTTAAAAAATACCCAATTACTGTTCTCTAAAATATCTTCAAATTAAATTAAGATTTGACAAATGAATTGTGGAATGCTGAAAAGTAATTGCAACACGTTTTCAGAATACATGTAAGGGAAATACTGCGCACATCTGAGTGTAAATTCACCAACACGAGCATTTTAGACTGCTTTTACAAAAAACAAACCGTTAGCATATTGTTTATTGGTTGCGCAAATAAAATAATAACAACTTGAAAAGCACTATAGAGATGCTATACATGAGAATGAGCTTACAAATGGTGGCAGGTAATGAAATGCATGTTACACTATCCCATAAGGTCACCATACATGTGAGTGATAAAAACTGTACAGTTACTGTTAGCTGAATTTGCTCCTTGGAGTCACATTTTGTCTCAAATGGCAACACATTTGATTGGTGGTCTGCCGCAGAAATTTATCACTTTAATAGCATATAGCATATATATTTTTTCTCAGTGAAAAGGAAATGATTTTCCAAAAAGAAATTTCCATTCCATCTGAAATTGTGACTCATATCGCAATTGCAACATCTGTCGAAATATTTACAATATGATTTTTTTTTTTTTTTTTTTGCATATCGTTCAGCCCTGCATTATGATGATGGTGTTTAAATGATGATGATGAAAGTGTGTGATTGGCCTCACTCTCTCTTTTTTTAAACAGAATTAAAGTAGCTGAGGTGACTTTGTGAAGCCTGAAACTCGCTTTTTTTGCTGCTTGCAGCCTTAATTTTGCGCGATTGAGCGGCTTCTTTCTGTTGAGCGCAAAAAGGTGTGAACCAGCAAATTGCTGCTTGCTGCAATATTTTACTGATATAAATGGATGTTGAGGGCTTGTCTTCATCAGTTGGACCAGGTCTGACCTGAAAAAACTAAATCTCTATGTATTCAGTAGATGAGTGTGGGGAGCACAATCTTACAGAGATTAATGTTGTGATGGTACAGAGTAGTAATGAATAAACATTACATTATGCCGCTGTTACGGTGTCTTTTAGTCACTATTAAGGGTTAAAGTCAGCGTGACCACTGCTCGTCTTTGCTGCTGCATTTTTTATGCTGTTGGCCCATGTTGTTATAAATGTGTGTCAGTTTTTTTTTTTTTTCTTTGCTGATTCTCTTGCTGTTTGCATTCACACATACAATGTATATTCTGTAAGTTGCCTTGTGTTGTCTGTCACTTACTGCCAATCAGTGTTTGAGTCATCTCACTAACGGCCTTTGCCATTGTGGTTTACAGGCAGTGGACAGAATACTTCCCACTACCACAGTAGCATAAGCAGCTACACAAATGTATCATTAGTTTTCAACAGAGATGTTAAATGAGGAATGAGTCAAAAGTGCTGCTTGCAAAGGATCCAAATACAAAGATTTACCACTAGATTCAATTTAGTTATACATAAAGCTTTGGTTTGGAAATATATGACTGAAATTTCTGTCATCACCACAATGAAACCACAGCGGAGGTGGATAACGCTAACTGCAACAGAAACATATTCTCCAGAAAAGTGTCCTCTGCATTCAATGAAAGCACTTTCTACTAAGAAAGTAGTCCCCCTGAAAACAGACTATTCTAATGATTGACGATGAGGATTTCTGTAATGTGGGTGAACCAAAAACTTTTAAAGCTATACAAGTAAACAGGACCAGAGGTCACATATACACATACATATATACATATACATACATGTACATGTATACTATATGTATACTATATATCAGTGCAATAGATAAAGCAAAGTAGATCTTTTGGCAGCATGTTGTGGAGCAGCAGTGAAACACAGACGCTTACATGATAACCTTTGTTAGCTCTCCAGTGTAATCGTGTATATGTGGGTTCAAATCCAGTGTGAGTAATGTGAACTTTCTTTGCCTCACAGATGATGAAAACTAATGTATGAGATAAACAGTGGGTCCAAAAAGTGTCTCAGATTTTTGGATAAAACCGTATTAGTTGCAGCATGACATAACATTATACAATAAGAGGGACCCTGGTTAGGTTATTTATTTCATAGCAAGAAAATAAAGTAATTTGTTTTTTCTCCTTATTAAAGTAAGTTGGATTTTGTTACTTAGTTTGCTCAAGTAAAAGCCTCAACATGGTTAAAGTTCAGTTTAAATACTTTCAGTATGACTGACTGTCCCTCTTGCCATTTTTGTTGGAAGATCTCTCTATAATATCTATATCTTTATTTCTGTTTAAGTGACATTTAAAGTGACAACAATTTGTGGGTATGTTGACTGTATTTGATACTGTGCATTTAAGGTCACAATAAGTCCATGATTTATTGAAGAAACCTTAGATTTTCCAGAGTTAAAGAGTTTGAGGTCATGTAATAGAAAACTTTGTTTCCAGCTCTTTTCTCATGACTAGCTCATTTGTGTTCACACAGTTTAAATGAGCACTCTTCTCCTCTCTACCTGTATTCACACATTTCTCTGTGGTGCAGTGCAAAAGTTTTATGTTGTGCTGTTGAAATGATTTTCCAGCCATGCAGCAGTAATTTAAGTCTGTCTATGAAACAGATCCTAAGAATCTGCCCTGTGTGCTGTGTTTTTTGATGAGCCAATTAGTCATTGAACAGAAATTAATCAGTGGCTGTTTTCATAATTTATTTATTATTTCAGCAATCAAAACATTTGCTGTTTTTAACCTCTCAAATGTAAAAATGAATGCATCAATGTGACCAAAAATAAGGTATAATAAGCCATATACAAACATCTCTTAGGACAATCAAGACTGTTAATGGGCTTTTTTTGTTATTGTTTTATCAAATAAAAGGTTTGTTAATGAATTGTTGATGTGTTTGGAATAAAACATGATTATGGTCTACATTACATGATCTGAAAATGTGAAAATGTGAAATGTCATGAGAACAGAAAGCACAGGTGGCCAGTGATATCTTTGACCCTCAGAGGATGATCATCTGCTTTTGAACTGTGTGTGTGTGTGTGCGTGCGTGCGTGCGTGCGTGTGTGTGTGTGTGTCGTCTGTGTAAGGACTACATCTGGGTGTTCACGTGAGGCAGATGTATTGATGAAAACAGTCAGTGTGTATTCTGTTTCTGAGTCATTATCTTCTGATGGGGCGTTTTGAGTGTGTGTGATTGGGAATGGGGACGCGCTCTTTCATTTCACGTTCCTTGAGTCTTTTCTCTGAGAGAATGTGGCAGATGACTTCATACTGTACCTCCTTACAGAGGTATGTTCGAATCCCTGTCATATCTCATCATTACTGATAAGACGTCATAGTCATTTAGATTTATTTTCATGGGTACCATTTTTTACTTTCTCTCCAGGTAATAATACATGTTTCTATGGGAAGTGTTATTACTGTCGGGAGAGCGAGCCAGCATGTGCGGAGGGAGAGATAATGGAGGGATCATTAACCCTTTGGCTGCCAGACGTCTGGCCATTGCAGAAACACAGACATCCCTGGGGACGCACGTACAGAGAGGGGAAACTGGCCAGGTGGGTGTCGCGTGAGTCCAGAAATGATCTTTACAGTTGTTTAATTAGTTTTCAAAGTCAAAAAATTATTGTGTTTGATAAATAACAGAAGGAAATGGAAATGTTGTGCAAATGCTGAACATAAATAGTTTTTCCATCATGGAGGTATTTTATTGTCAGGGGGTGCAGAAAGTCTGATTTGTTGTTTCCTGCTGTTAAAGTGCAATGACGCCCCACCTACTCTTACATGTTTATTCTGAGAAAAGCTTCCTGGGGTGGGAGGGTGAACATAGCAGGGGGAGGTGAGTGTCAATTAAGCGCTGAAATATACTTATACTTTTGAAGAACATTTACCCTATGACCTAGAGAGAAAGCAACCAGAGCGAGTGAGAGACTTGAGTTTCCTCACCACTCAGATCTTGGATATCCTGAGTGATGACAGTAAGATGACAAAGACAATTTATGGCTGTGTTGAAACTAAGCAAACTTGTCATCACAAACAAAGCATTAATTATTTACATGTAATATTCAGTACATTTACAATAATCACTCAGAAATATAAAAAAAAAACAAAAAACTAATTTGGACAATTGGGATACCAAGGATCATTTCTATTTGGGCTCCTTTACTAATCCTTGGTCTGTAACTTTGAGTTTATTAATACATAATTTCAATGCAAATTCCAGTAATTCATTTCAGTAGTTTCTTTTTTTTAATAAAACAATTTATTAGTTGATTATAATGAAAAATACTTCCTGTTTTGATCTTTTACAGGTCTTCATCAGGGCTCAAAGTTCGACAAAATGCATCAGTTTGACCATTTCATATGTTAAAGCTGAAGCTATATACCTTTTTTTTTTTGCATTTTAAAAATGCACTGCAATTTTGTCTACAGACAAGCATGCAATTCAATAAATGAAGAAGCAAGTTTCCAATAATAAACTAATAGCATTTCCTTGAGTTTAAATTGAGCTTTTCTTTCAAGGACATTCCTTTTTTCCCCATAAGAAGTATCAAATTGCATTGTTCTTTCCAGGAAACTTAATTGAAATTATGTGGAAATTAGATAAGATAAAATGTTATCAATTACTTTTTATTCCTGAGCATCATGAAAGAGGTCCACTGACCTAGCAGAGCAGGTTTTAGGACCTTACTTAGGAAGTAGCGCTCCAGTATGTGAAAACGTGATGGTTAAGCCTAACCTAACCTAACCTAACATTTTAATTTAGGTACACCAGCACATAATTTAGGTTCGCCTAAATTATGTACTTTTCACCGTGCCCTTTGGAACAGCAATAATACATTTTAAGTGTTACCTTTGTTGTCTGTTTAATCATAACTGAGCCTCATAAACTGGACAAGTAATTTTTTGTGGGAGCCATATATTTTGGACGATTATAATAATGTATCATTCAAAGGGACCAGACTAGTACTTTTACTTTTATATTTACACTACATTTTACTGCTAATACTAATGCACTTTTATTTAAGTAGGATTTTTCATGCAGGACTTTTTTCTTGAAGAAAAAGCAATCAGTGTTTTGATTCATTTTGAATTGCTGGCATATTTTAAGGTTGCAATGTCATTTGAGGAGGAGTACAGGGTGCGGTTTCACACATACACACTTATTTATTTTCACTTTGAGCACATTCACTTTGAAATAAAATGATAGATACCACATTAAAGTGCAAGGTCTCAGATTTAATTTGAGTAGGCTTACATGACTATAGAAAAGAACTGTGAGGCAGAAATTGCCCCAAAAAAAACCAAACTCAGCTTTTTGTCACATCTGATGATGTCAGATGTTTAACGGGAAACCTGCTTAGCTCGGCAGTGATGATGCTTCACAATGGGCGATATGAACATCATCAGGCTTCAATTGCAGAAGTTCAGTTGCATTGCAAGTGCAGACATGTAAAATTATGTAATATTATCAAAATATGCAAGATAGGATCCTGGAATTGTCGCTCTCACACATTGTTGAGAGCCATGCAGAAATCGCTGATTGCAGAACTACTGTTGAGAGCTAACAAAAAAAAATCCCCAATCAAGTATCCCAGACAGTGCTGTGTGACCACAACATATAGTCCAGCCCGTCAGTATCCACCCTCCAATATGGAAAGAACTATGAGGCAGACATAGCCCATACCAGTGTTGCGCCAGTTCACACTTAAAAAGAACTAGTTCAAAGCTCAGTTCATACAGAGTAAAATGAACTAGTTCACGTTCATTTGTTCCGTTTTTTAAAAAATAAAGGCAGATATTCTTTTTCAATAGAACCTCCTTCTACCCATCCATCACCAGCCCCAAATCATTGCCACTCCCAAACTAAATTAATTATTGTATACCACCGAAGAATCACAGAAATGAGGTACATTTAAAATCTGTATATAAATATAATTCGTCTGAGTCTTCACTTCAACCTGCTTCAACTGCTCAAACGAACTGGCTTCAGCAGTAGTAGATGCGTCTGTACCGTCTCTGCCGTCTGAACCGCAAGCATGAGCCAAGCTCGGCTGTGTCTATGGAGACGTCATGCGGCGTGCCGTAAAACTGTTGTAAAACATGAGCGGAGGTTCATAAAACGTTCACGTTCATCACAGAGAATTTGCCTTGATCATGACATTTCACACTCACTCAGTTGTCGTTAAATATTAAGCAAAAGCTGACTATGCAAAATAATTTAAGAGTGAATTTTGACAGGTTTTCACTTAAAAAAAAAAAAAAAAATCTATTTCAACTTCTCAATGGCGAGAAGCTGAATTTGTGCACACACTAGATGTTTAACGGGAAACCTGCTTAGCTCAGCAGTGATGACCCCTCACATCTGGACAGTGTCAGATTTAAATTGCAGAAGTTCAGTTTCATCTTTAAGTCCAGAAATGAAATATTATGTAAGATTATCCAATTACGCAAGGTAGGATCCTGGAATTGTCGCTCTCACTTTTGAGATCAGGCCAAGTACGTGTTTATTTGTGCCCCCTATTTGTGAGACCAGATTGTTGACTAAGATTGATGTTGTTATAAATATTGTGGTGTTAAAACTGACAAGTAGGACTCAGTAGCCACTGCTGACTGCAGGGAGGACGTCCAAGTTGTAGAACGAAGATAACAATAAAGGCACAGAAGTAACAGAGTAAACCTGTAATCAAGGAATTAAACTTTCTCTCACACAGACACAAACGCACCAGAAAACATGCAGACATACATATACATAAATGCCAGCTCATAGGTTTTCCGTCATGTTTTATCAGCATCAACACTTTTAATAATTTTGGCAGCCAAATGTAGCCATAATTTTGGCTACATTTCTACTTTCTCAACAGACACTGGAACAAACACCACCTACATGGTAGATTTTGACCGGATTGTAATGGATTTGCATGTGTTTTAAACATCCAGGTGGGAGTATGATGAGAGTTACTGCGAGGCAGTGAAGAAAATGCCTCCATATGATGCAGGGCCAAGGCTGCTAGACGTCATAGATACGGCCATATTTGATTATCTCATTGGAAATGCTGATCGACATCACTATGAGAGTTTCCAGGATGACGGCGGTGCCAGCATGCTCATCCTACTCGACAATGCAAAGAGGTGAGCAATAAACTGAAGGATTTTAACTATCAAAATCCTTTTTCTGTCCTTTAGTAGTAGTATTACTATTATTATTCTTTTTTAAAAAACAAGACATGAATCACATTTAGTTGTTTATATCCAGCAGATTTCATAAACACAGTTACAATAATAAATGATCTATAACATAAAGATGAATAAAAAACACCCTCTGAGGTTTTTTTCCTGAAATTGGAAAATTCGTCACTGTTTAAATTGACTTTGATTCATTGGGAGTCCCCTTTAAAATTGGACTCATTAAACCACTCTGGTGCAGGAGGGGGAATTTAGTGGAAACCTCTGCACTTTATTCAGACAACATGTTTTGTCTCATCAGCACAACATTCTGATAATTTTTAATAAGTTCAGTTTTCATCTCATATTTGAAGTCTAATTTTCATTTTCATTTTCAATTACAGTTTATGTTGACATTTTCTGGCATGATCATCATTTTCAAGAACTCACTTATTGCCATTGAAACTACTTACTAAGCTGAGTCATGGGAGCAGCCACTTCCATGAAGTGAGGACACTGAGCCGTTAATGCCGTCTTTGAACTTATTCTGTTTTCAATGATCAGTGGAAGTCAGTGGAAACTTTTCTGTCTGCTTGATGGCTGTTTTTCCAACTGAACTACTGAACTTATATCATTTTCATTTTGAATATATTTTATAACAAAAACAGAGGTATTACAGTCATCTGAGCAGCTCAATTTCGTTAAGTTTTTCAGGTTGAGATTGGGTTTCAAGATTCTTGCTCACTGCTTCCAACAGTTTAGTTGTTTCCTTCCAGTCAGTGTCATTTCATACTACAATTAGGTCGGGACAATCAACTGAAAACAAACCAAAACTGACATCATCAGTTTTTCATTGACTTAATTGAAGTCATTTCTTGGTGTTCAGGAAATTCATTCCTTTAGACAAACTGTTGTCTCCTGCTTTAATGTGGCTGGAAATGTCTATTAAATGGGAATGACCTGGTTTTCTGCATAAATTGGTCATAAGAAATGATCTGATCTTCATCTAAATCACAAGTATAGACAAACAATTATTTTTAAATAATTAATAATAAATAGTAGTGAATGGCCTTTGGGAATAGAAGCTGTTTAGGAGTCTGGTGGTTCGAGTTTTTAATGACCTGTTGCGTCTACCTGACGACTGAAGGTCAAACAGGTGGTGGCCAGGGTGAGAACAGTCTTTGACAATGTTTTTGGCTCTGGACAGGACATGTCTTGGATTGAAAGAAGAGAGCAGCAGATGATTTTCTGTGCTGTGTTAATAACCCTCTGTAGAGATGTTTTGTCTGCTGCTGACAAACCAACATACTGCGCACACTGTGACACAGTATGTTAAGACACAGACTCGTTTTACTTGTAACGCTTTGAAGTGTATAAGATTATGTCTGACATGGGCCGAACAGTTGTGTATACTCTTTAAACATTCATCTCATCCCTCGTCATTTAATTCTACGTTCAGTTAGTCAACCCATGCCTGCTAAAGTCCTGCTGTGTTCATTAAAGTTCTGTAATGTAGGATCCAATAAAGAACAACAAAAGAGGTGACTGCCCTGCAGGTAATGAAATCAAATGCATATAATCCCTCCAGAGGCTAATGTTTGTCCAAGATTTCAAAATTAGGCACATGCTTCCTGACATAGTCTCAAATTTCTAAATATCTGGATAAACTTGATGCAGGGATATTGTAAGCAGCCTGTAACTGTTCCCATTAATGTATAGGTCACCTACATTACAGATACCTCTGTTTCCAGGTGTTATCATTCAGGCCAGGAATGATTTGCTTTAATATACTGTATTATAATTTTTTTCCAGATTTTTAAGCATAATGCAAAATACAAAGCCGTTACTAAAATATGTCTTTAGAACTGCAGTTGGGCTGTTGAGGAGAGTAGGCAAGGAAGCTTTCTTACAAAGCAAGTGGTGAATGAGTAATCATCCGCCACCATGTAAGGATGGATATATGAGGAATACTGCATTTTGTTGTTTGGTAAGTTAAAACCATCTGCATCCTGTGGTTTTTAGTATTTTTAGTAATTCTAAGGGTTGTATTACTTCCAGACAAAAGGTATAAGAAATTAATCCAGTTGCTTAAAGTAAAATCAAGCAATAAAACATGAAAGCACGACAGTACAATCATCTTGATTACATTAATCTTCCAGACCTAAGAGATTAGAGGAGTCTTCCAAAAGTCAATATTACATTTAAGTAGTTCAATTTTGTCTTGCCAATTCAATCGAAGGAGGTCATCTGGATTTCTTGTCACACTCAAACCAAGATATGTTTAAGTTATTCAGCTTTTTTTTCTTTTTTAAGTAATGGACTGTAAAGAAGTCATATTAACCCCTGCAGAAACTGGCATTGATCCATTCCCAGTTGAGAGAAAATCCTGAGAGACCAGCATAGTTGTGGGATGGAGATGTATCAAAGTATGTCATCAGCCTATAACACAAGGAGACCTTTATATCTATACATGTCAGTGGAACATATTGGATGGTTCTGTCTGTCTTGCAGCCAATGGTTCACAGATAACTGCAAACAGAAACGGGGGGGGCAACCTTGATGGTTCCCACGATGAATTGCAAAAGGGTGAGCAATATTTTGATCAGTGATAATTGAGGAAGTTGTGAGTAATTGACCTCAATCCATTTCATTTTCCATCTTGAGTTAATCGGTTACCACAAAACATAAACTAGAGGTCTGCTGCATTGACAATATACTGTATGTAAAAAGATACTGTTTCATTCACTCTTACCAAGCTCAGTGCAACAGTTAATTGCAATAAAAATGTACTACTTTTTCAGTTTGTCCCAGAAGCAGTTTGAAAGTTTGTTGACTCCTCAGGAGAGTAGATCAGGTAGCAGGGAAATTGCTGTTATAACAAACACGCTATCCACGCTCGGTTGTGGACAGCTGAAAGAAAAACCCTCTTCTGCTTCAGTTGATTTCTGCAATGCCATGGCCAGCAAAGTGTGGCTAATGCATGTTGATGGCTTCTCTTAACCACAGCGCAGACAGGCCTCCAGCTCCAGTTTCCTTACTTCAGTTTTTAGTTGTAATTTGTGTGTGTGTGTGTGTGTGTGTGTGTGTGTGTTTTTTTTTTTTTTTTTTTTATCGTGTAGCTGTGGGAATGCAGCTCTGGATGAACGAAGCATCCTCGCACCACTCTACCAGTGCTGCATGTGAGTACTCAAACTGTCAAATCTTAATTTTCTTCTAATTTTGATCATTTTTTAACTATAATATGTCGCATGTTTCATCTGTCAGGGTTCGTGTGTCCACATGGAACAGGTTAAACCTGCTGAGAAGTGGAGCTCTGAGTTCAGCAATGCGGCAAGCTCTGGCATTCGACCCTATCCACCCGGTCCTGGCTGACCCGCACCTTGCAGCCCTGGACAGGCGTCTGTCCGGAGTCATAGCGACTGTTAAGCAGTGCATGGAAGCGCAGGGCCCGGACAACACTCTAATAGAGGACCGAATGAACCTGCCGCATCCCTAGAAATAAGGGAGAGGAGAAAACGGCAAAAAAACAGGAACAACCAGGACTTCACTTCCTGAGCCTGGAGAAGAGGAGAGGGACATGGAAGGTGACTGACCAAATGGATCAGCCCTGGTGTTAAAGAAAAAGAGCTGCAGTGAGTAAATGGATCAGCAGGGTGGAACAAAGACAAGTGCATTTCTTCTGCCCTTGTTCCTTCCTTGTTTGTCACTCTGACAAGACTGGTTCTCAAAAAAGAATCAATGAATTCAAAGTGTTGGAACTGTGTCACTTTTCAGCTATAAAAACATACTCTCAGGACTGTTGTGCACTAGAGAACAGTATCTGCTGTAAGAACCCCCCTCGTCTACTGCTACTGGTTGTGACGACACTCCTGCCATGTGCCAGATCCTCCCTCCCGGTCCAGTTTTTTCTTAGAATTCAGCTAAGAGGAAGAGATGGAGCCTGGAGAGATGCAGACACTCAAAAGAGCAGGAGGGAAGATAAAAAAATGAGCCGCCAACATCTGTATGGAAGACACTGTACAGCTGTTTCAGGCTGTTTGGAGCTTACAGTCCAAGAAACTGAAAATACGTTATAGAACTGAAAATGCCTTTTTTTTTTCCTCCTTGAACTGAAATTTAACTTTGACTGGAAAAAGAAGAAAATCAACTCAGCCCTACCCCATCAGTGTGTACATATTTAACTAAGTAGTGACATAGAATTATGAGAAAAAAGAATATAAATTTCTGGATAATAATATTAAATAAGCTTGTGTGTGTGTGTGTGTGTGTGTGTGTGTGTGTGTGTGTGTGTGTGTGTGTGTGTGTGTGCGTGTGTGTGTGTGTGAGAGTGCGTGTGTGTGAGAGTGCGTGTGTGAGAGTGCGTGTGTGCGTTCCATATTGTGCCGGAAATTAGAAGGCTACTGACATGACAGACTTGAAGTGGGGGGACAAAGAGGTCAGGTGTGTGGGTTCATCTTCAGCATTAAACTATGATCTATTTCATTGTGGTTCTCACTCTGCCTTCTTTTCTTCTATGTATTCACCACTTAAAAGCTCAGCAGCTGTTTTAAGATGGGTATTGCTGTTGTTAGTGCTACTATCTTCATGTTGGAAGGGACTTTCACTTTATTCTTACTTTTAGTTGCTCAGATATTTTTATCTTTTTCAGATTTGATCTGAGAAGCATTACAGGTCATATCTGGGAAACACTGGTTGTAGTTTATGATAACTAGTTTTAGTTTTCCTCTTTCCTCGTCTCATTTTCTGTAATGTTTTTTTTCTTTTTTCCAAATTTGAATCACTTTTCAATGCCTAAATTCCATTCATATTCAAGACAACAGTAGCTCTTTTCAGTCACATATTAGTAAAAGGTGTGATTGCAAACAACTGAGTCCGTGCCAGTGGGATTACACTTGTTGCCATTACATGAGATTGTCTCAAAAAGCTGCATTCCAGGGTCAGTCTCACTGTGTGATACTTGGCCGCAACTTTGATAAGAGGTCGGAGGCATTTTGGTTATTTCGATATTTAAGCAGATATCAGTGACGTGGAGCCAGGACCAGTACAGTTTGCACATCGAAACAAAAATAATCACTTTTCTTTTGACACAGACTATGATTATTAAGGTGCTTTCAGGAGGTGTTTTCAGTTGTGGTTTGCACACCTGTTGAAACATCCAGCTGAGGTCTGATCCTCCAGTGTGGTAGAGACTTTAAGAGCAGCTGGCTGTAAGCAGACTGAACTGAACTGCAAACAGACACAACATGTCTGATCCTTATGTTCAATGTGAACAAACGTTTAACCTCGGTTTTGCTTTTGCCACTTCTTTCACATCATGTTCGCATAATCAGGTTGCAAATGGTTTGTAAAAGGATGTGTGTGGGCTGCTGATGATTAACCCAATAAGACTTTCCTTCCACAAACTAAAACTTTCCTCACTCTTCTGCTGCTCGGTTCTTTATGTTAATGTTTGCTTAAACTGAAATACCCAGCTTGTCCAAAAAAACAAACAAAAAAAAAAACAATGGCCCTCTAAATCTGATAACTCCGTATTCCTTGAATCAATAATTTTGACCTGTGAATAGATCTAAGTGTTGTTACAGTACTTCTGGTGATGGGATTCCCCATTTTACCATGTGCTTCTGTTACAGATCATCTGTCACCACAGGAGTTTGTCCTTATCACTTGACATTTCCTTCATCAGGTTTGTTAACACTGGTAGTAGTGGTATCACGGTTATAAAGTGTACACTCTTATTCTCTGGTTTGAGTGAGTTGTGTTGTGTTGTGTTTGCTACACCCACAGAGGAGAAATGTAATTGTGAAACCATGTGGCTGGTCCCCCCCCCCTTTCCCACATGCAGATGTTCACTCTCAGCTGCCTGCTTGTCTTGCTGTCACATCCAGCCTCCCCTGTGTTTATGTGTGCAACACCTCAGATGATATAGGACAGCTGTTTCGTTTAAGCTAAGCAGGTGTTTTTGTTGGGACGTGTAGCAAAACATTGAAACTTTGAGAAAAAAACACTGCTTTTGTCATGTTGGGGCATGTCAGGACAAATCAATTAATTAATGAATTTGCTTTTCTGATGTTTTCTATTGTGTTTTGGAAATAGCGCAGAATTAATTATTGTGATGTGTGTCTCTGTAGTTGCCATCATGCCATACAACACTCATACAGCTTTTATTACTGTCAGTAACTTCTTCTCCTCTCTTAAATCTCTTTAGTAGGATTTTTTTTTCTACTTCTGTTTCCCCTCTGGGAAGCAGTGAACAAAATGGAAAAAAGTACACCAAAAATACCACAATAGTACTATTAACCCATTATTGTAGACACTAGATGTCCCTCTAGGATAATTTATGTAGGTTATAGATCATTATAGATCATTATTGGGATGGGCAGTGTAGCAACAAGCATGATAAAGCCCATTGCAAACCCACCAGTGAATGTGACAAGCATTGCAGAAGTCCCATCACCTATTACAGGAATATCAAAAACTGTGTAGGAAGATAAAGATGAAGGCAAAGTTGTAAAGTATGACACGGTGAGTGTTGAGTCACTACCGAAAACACACTGTACATCACACACACACTTCTCAAAGTGAGGCAATGACACTAATGTCTACAAACTCTGTCTCTCTCTCTCTCTCTCTCTCTCTCTCTCTCTCATTTTCTTTCTCTCTCTCTAAATATACACATACACACAGACACATATATATGTATATGTACATATATATATATATATATATACACGTGTGTGTATGTGTTGCACAGACTGAAGTGTCTAATGTGTTCGGTCAACACATGCTGCCAGAACAGTTTCAATGCTCCTTGGCATTGATTCTACAAGTCTCTGAACTCCATTGGAGAGATGAACACCTGAACACATCTTCCAAAAGATATTTAGATGATGGTGATGGAGCACGCTGTCTAACAAGTTAGTCCAAAATCTTCCATTGGTGTTCAATTGGGTTGAGACTGTGAAAGTCATAGCATATGATTCACATTATTTTCATATTCATTAAACCATTCAGTGACACCCCCCCCCACCCCACCCCCCATGCCCTTTTGGGTGGGGGCATTGTCATCCTACTTCCCTGCACATTTTTCTAGTTTTTCCTTTAAATAGTCACCCATGTGACTCGCTTGAGTAACCTTCTTATGGACAAAATCAAACAAAATGCATGGTATTGTGGAGAAAAACACAGATAAAAGGTCAGCAACTGATGCAAGAAAGGATTACCAACCAAACAACTGCTCCAGACCCTCAGGGGCCACCAGAGGCCACAGTTTGCTGTAGGGCGATTAGCTTATAGTAATATGGGTGATAAATATAAACTGAAATGGGGTATTGTTTTAATACCTTGAATATGTCAGTTGATAGCACGCTTACATGTTGTCCAAATTAATAGTTTGACCTTTTCAAAGATACACTTATTTGCTTGCTTGTCAATGAGAAGATTGATAGCTCTCTTAGCTTAGCATAAATACTGGAAACTGGGTCAGGAAATAGCCTGGCTTGGTCTAAAATCACATATCTAAAGCTCTCAGGTTAAAATATCATAATTTGATTGTTGTCGTGTTGCTATCCTCGGTCAAACACAGGCTAACTGTTTCCCTTCAACTCTTTGGACTTTATTAGTATTGACCTTATTCAGCTCTTGGCATGAAACTGAAAAAGCGTGTTGGCCAATATGTCTATTATTACTATTCAGTTTGGGCGTGTTCCGGTTAAGTCCACGAGGGCTTAGGGCGGTCCCACTGTAAATACACCAAGGCCATGAGGGCTCTCTGGTAAGCATTTTTGGGCCCTTTATAAACACGTTCCGTGAAGTCCGCATTTCTATAGGGAATTACCCACAGTTCGGCTGAGTGTAAACACAGCTGACTGGTAAATCATAGGCACAACTGCGTAGGTTTTTGTCCTGTCATTGTATGAGGATGAATTCCAAATATGCTTTCATCAGATCTTATCCGATATTAGTATTTATTTTTAATAGGCTAAGGAATGAAATGAGGCAATACAAAAAAATGTAAAAGCAAAAGTCCCAAACCCATGCCACGTTTTGGCGTCCTCTGAACGTAACGTCATATATCACAAAAGCCTGCGGCTATGGCATTCCTCTTTACACCATATCACCGGCCTCACTTAGGAGGGGATGCCATTTAAGTCTGTGAAGCGTCAGGGCTTTAAGCATTATGGGGAACATCGGTATTGTTACAATTAAGAGGTTAAAGTAGCCAACATGTTTCCTGCTCAACAGTTGGCTGCTGAAAAGACTTCCATTCATTATTTGGGCTTCGCCTGTCTCAGAATGCAGCGAAGCAATATAAAAACAAAACAAAACAAAACAAATATGTATGGTCACATGAGCAGTTTGTCGTTGGTTTCCTTGAAATAAGCTGTGGTTCAAATATCTCCCTACACCCCCTGATAAATATTATGGGAACATGACAGTGATTGCAGCGTACATTGTGATGTGGGAAGGTTTCACTGCTCGGCTTGTGTACCAGCAGCACAGAGAGTGTAACAGTCAGCCAATCAGGTCCCGGTGCGCTGGTTTCACTCCTGTTTCTGTCTCACGGTTTGTGTGTATGTGTGTGCGCGCGCGCGTGTGCGCGCATGCAACCTATGTGTGTGTAGCACCCCCCACCCCCCACCCCACCCCCCACCCACACAAAGGCACAAACAAAATAAAGTGTAGATCATGAGCGCCGTCTTTCCAGTCACTCCCCTCCTTTCATCTTGCCCACTCGCGTTAAAAGCCTCGCTGAGCTCCTGCAGGGCGTTCAGAGCACTGATGGACCGCAGGAGGATGGATGCTGAGGGAGGTCGCGTGGTCCACCGGGAGTGGCGCGCGAGGAAGCTCGCGGTAGTCGTTGCCGTGCAAAACGTGCTGGTGGCCGCTTGCCTGTTCATCACTCTTTACGTTTACTGGGGCGTTCAGGATCAGGAGCGGGTGAGTAATCTGGAATTTGAGTGTAAATGTACTATCAAGAAAGAAGTGACTGGCAGTAATGCAGACTGTTCATTATTATGAACATACAGTATAGTTTGAATGGTTTAAGAAAAACAAGTATTATTTCTTACATTCGTTTGATACAACTTGCCATCAAGTGAAGTGGGGATTTTAAAAGGTCTATGTAATGTTGATAAAGTTGACCAAATACACTCAAATACATCACTGCTGTTGGATCAGGGTATATTTATTGAATGTACACAAAATCTGAACAAGTATATCTCAATTAAATTTTTTTTATTCATTTTATTTAATTAAAACTTGCCAT